CGCGGGCTCGCGGCCGGCCGTGGCGCGACGCTGCCTCACCTGTAGGTCTGTGGCGGCGGCACGGAGCCTCCTGAGGGAACATTCTGTTTACTGTCGGCGAAGTGGAAGCCCTTCATCTCCATCTGAGAGGACTGGAGGCCAAACAGAACAGGCTGCCAGCCATGGGCAGGGCTGCCGGGCCGCCGTCTCCTCCGGGCACAGCCCCCCCTCGCCCCGTCTGCCCGGGCTGGGGGCGGGCACCTTTCCCAGGAGGTCCTCTGCCCCACCGGATGTGCACTTCCCTCCCGCCCCGGGGCACTCACGCCCCCTTCATGCCCCCCTGCAGCTCCTGGGTGCAAAAAGGGGTCCCACCAGGGATCCCAGAAAGACCCCGCTGAGCAGGGCTTGCACCCCAGACTGCTAGCATCTTCCACCCCAACAGCTCCAGGACCACCACAGCCAAGGTCACACTTACCTCTCTGCTGGTGCTGAGGACTGAAGGCTGGGACCCGGGGGGGAGGATTCTCCGGGGGGCCCCGACAGACAGGCTCTGTCCCTGTGGCAGCTGGATGGACTGTGGCAGAATCAGGGGCTGCTGCCCGGAGCCGTACCGAGGCAGAGGCAGCTGGGAGCCAGGCAACGGCATGGTCAGCTGCCAGACAACAGGGACAGTCAGAGGCAGGCACGGACACGGGGAGCCGCACAAGCCTGCTGGCACGCAGCCCAGGGTGGACCCCACACTGCGTCCAGGCCGCCTCGCAAGGCCACACGCCGGGGAGCCAGCCGGGCCTCTAGAAGTGACCCTGAGCGTCCCTGCACCGGTACGCTCAGGGGAGCGCCTCCACCCCACGGCAGCGCGCCCGCCTCTGGAGGTGGCACAGAGCAGGCTCCAGCTGGGCACCAGGATTCGGGCCCAGAACCCAGCTGGGACCCGAGACCCTTCTGCAGCCAACTAGGAAAGAGCACGGGGGCCACCGGCAAGCCCAGGACGCAGGCGGGCTGAGACCCGGACGGGCAAGGCTCACGCTGTCTCTCAGTCCCGTCCCGTGGCCAGGAGGAGATGGG